CACATCAAATGACTTGCTGGTCCCCAGCACATGAGCAAGCTCTCCATTACCTCTGACATACCTCCTCCCACTCTCTTCCCCCAGATCCCAGTCCCCCTACTTTTCCTCTAGCCCCCCCAGTGGCCATTCCTGCTTACTACCTTTGCACTGGCTGTTCTGTCTAGAACTCTCTTCCCCCCAGATATTGGCATGGCTAATTCCTTCACCTCTTCAAGACTACCCATATGCCACCCTCTTAATGAGGTGTACCCTCATTGAGCTGCCCTATGTAAATTTGCACACTGGCTATATATATATATGTGTGTGTGTGTGTGTATATATATATACCCATTGTTTATTGTCTGTGTCCCACTGCCTCACCCCCACCCTGCCTCTGCCTTTGGCATGTAAGTTCCAGGAGGGTGGGGGGTTTTGTCTTGTAAAGTTCACTGAAATATCCTAGGCACCTAAAACAGCACCTAATAAATAGTAGGTCCCACATAAATTTTTGTTGAATAAATTGAATGCATAAATGCACACGCTATCACGTCTCTCCTTTCCCATGTTCCTCTCTACATATGAAATATATATCTTTTTTTTTTAAAGATTTTATTTATTTATTTGACAGAGAGAGACACAGCAAGAGAGGGAACACAAGCAGGGGCAGTGGGAGAGGGAGAAGCAGGCTCCCCACCGAGCAGGGAGCCTGATGCGGGGCTCGATCCCAGGACCCTGGGATCATGACCTGAGCCGAAGGCAGAAGCTTAACAACTGAGCCACCCAGGTGCCCCTGAAATATATATCTTACATATTATTCCCCTTCATCCACAGTCTCACTGGCACTTTTTTACTTCATACATTTCTTGTTTACCTCTTGGTCTGCCCCACTTCTTGGGTCAGGAGATGCACCTCAGCTTATCTTTCTAGGCCAATCTCCTAATACATACCAGAAAACGAAAGGCATTCAATAAATATTTATTGAACTCTGACCTGAATCATGTTGTATTTCAGGCAAAGGACTGCAACACATGAATCATATACAAACTCTGACCATGATTATATAGAAGAACTCATTCCCGAGCCATATATCACCTTTGTTCTGCAAATCCTTTTGCTTAAAATGGAAGGTACGGGTATTCCAATTTGGAGAACTGGTTGAGGCAGGAGCTGATTTTTGCAAATTCTATTTTGCCAAGATTTCAGAGAATGCAATTTGGTCTTGAATAGCTGGTCTCGGACCAGATGGTTTGTACATTCTGATTTTTAGAATTGGGGATGCTCCCTGACTAAAAATAAATTAAGGGAAGATGCAGAGTGGAAGCACTTATTATATGTAGGACATTATGCCAGCGATTTTACATATATTAACTCATTTTATCCTCACAACAAACTCATGCAGGATATATTATTATCTACATTTTACAGATGAGGAAGCTGGAGTTCAGAGAATTAAATACTGCCCAAGGTCACACAACGAGGACGTGGCATGACTGGAACTTGATCCAAAGCCCCTGTAGAGCAAAATCCCAGCCCTTGACACAGTATAGGTTGCCTTCCTTCCCCGCCCCCGTGTGCGAGTTCTATCCTTAGAGTCATCTTTCTACACATTGTGAACTCACACACTTATTTCATTGTCTTTGCCTCTGTGGTGTTTTGTTCTTTTATTACCTTGCACACAGCGTGGAATGCTTTCTACAACTTATTCAGGCCTTCAAAGCTCAGACCCTGTAGAAGTATGGAATCTAATTGAATTCAGTGCGAGTCGACGAGTGTCACACTGATGCCAACCAAATCGCAGGCCTGCTTCGGGAAGGTGTCCCTTCACAGCATGGTCTGACTGGCCGGAACTGGGCATTGAGTCTGACCCGACTGGATTAGGAAGGGCAGTGCCACAGTCCTGGATCTGAACTTTTTCATTTCCTGCTCAAGGATTTCTCATTTTCTTAGGCAAAACCAAAACAGGAACAACAGGGAGGAAGCAGGCCGGGAAGGTGGGAGCGGTAGAGGAGACAGGAGAGGTAGTTTGCCCTATTACACTGTGAGCAGCCGGAGTAGTCAGTCAAAAGCACCTCTTAAGGAGGACTGGTAGTGGGGCACCTGGGTGGTTTAGTTGGTTAAATGTCTTCCTTCGGCTCAGGTCATGATCCCAGGGTCCTGGAATGGAGCCCCGCATCGGGTTCCCTGCTCCGCGGGGAGTCTGCTTCCCCACCCCCCCGCCCCTTCCTGCTCGTGCTCTCTCTCACTATCTCTCTCTCAAATGAATAAATAAAATATAAAAAAATACAGAGGATTCGTATGGAACAGCAGACTTGCCAAAGCACACAGAAGTCTATTCCAAAGGTCTGGGGAGGCTGACAGAGCCTCCAGAAGCTTCACCTGTAGGACCTGGTGGACATCCCCAAAGACAAGGGTGAACAGAGCTCAGTCTATAACTAGAGAATGATCAATCTGTCAATCTGTTGGGTATTGTTGATAGTCTCTAGTTTGATCCCCTGTCCCTTGTCTCTGTCAGTCAGCAGTGAACTTTGGAATAAAAGGTTCATTCAATTTTATGGCCAGGAGAGGCCTTACAGATTAATCTCATTCACCCTCTCATTTTACTGATGAAGCTTCTCAGCCATAGATGGATTAAGGGAACTGAACTTTTCAACTTCTATGAGAGCACAAAGTACAATAACAGAAAACATATTCTGGATTTTTCAGGGCGGTGCTGAATTTGCATATCCTGTCTGATTGTCCTCCTGCGTATACCTGTATTTGTCAGAGGCTGTGTTCCAATTTGAGATTCGGAGAAATATGATCACCTTATGGCTCAGAAAATACTGTTCAGAAAATCCAGTTTGGCTTTTGCATCCGTACTAAAGTACACAAGCTGGTGAAGCGAAGAGAATAAAACCATGTTCTACTCCTTTCTTTTCTCATTTTTTTTTTAACTTTCATAGAAATATGTGCTTTGGGGGAGAAACTGTGAGCATATAAATGTCCCCACTTGAGCTACTGACGAAGGGAACAATAGAAGAAAATACAGATAAGTAAGGGAGAAAAAGAAGTAGACACAGGTGGAACAAAGTGAATTAGAATTTAGTAGGTCACACAGAATTTTCAGGAATCGAACCGCTTAGGAATGCTCTTTGAAAAATTGACTTAAATATACCATGTAGCTAAACTGGTAGAAGTTAGGGGCAGGAGACTGAGCATGAGAGATGCTGGGAAGCAAGAGGGTGAGCACAAAAGAGACCACAGACAAGGGACCACCACAGCTGTGAGGAGGGTTCTCTAAATGTAAGTTTCACCCCAAGAGAGAAAGATGCGTGGGATGAGCTGCCGAGCATGCTTGCCTCCCTCCTGGACTCTGCTCTCCGCACCCAGAGTAGGAGGGAGCTCCTCAGAGCTTCCCCTGAGGTCAAACAGCAGCCGAGGTAGGAAAGCCCCAGGTGAAGAAAAGGGGAAGGACACCTCTTTGTGGAAAGAAAATAAAATCCACAATAAAGCCAGGAAACTTCAGAAAACAAAAGAGAAGAATGAGCCTTTGTATGAGGCGAGCTCTTTGTTTACACTAAACAGAAGCAAGCACTAGATTGCAGGCTCTGCCTTTCTCCTTCCTTATTCTTCCTTCACACACTGCCAACCAGTGCAAACATCCGGATCCTAAAAGGACATTAAATATTGGTCGATGGAGTCCTAACATCCAGGAGCAACCCAGAAATATTTACACAGTCTGCCTGAGAGACTCTGTCATTGTAAAAGCATTGTGAGTCAAGTATTCCCCAGTTAAAGAAAATAATCAGAATCTCCGAACATTTCCTTAAAAAAAATAGCATTTGGTCCCGGAATTCAAGCAATGATTTGAGAACGCTTTTTACATGTTCTTGGCAATTTTTTTTTCATAGACGCTGTAAGAGACAAAAGTTTTTGTTACCAGTTAAGGAAAGATATTTTTTTCTCTCTACATTAACTTCCTTTTCCCTACTTGAACAATAAAAAGAGGTGTGTGTTGGGGCCCCTGGTTGGCTCAGTTGGAAGGGTGTGTGACTCTTGATCTCAGGGTCATGAGTTTGAAACCCACGCTGGGTGTAGGGATTACTTTAAGAAAAAAGAGGTGTGTGTTGGAGCCTATTCAGATAGTGGGCTTGCTCACCACTTAAGCTTGGTGACCTGATAGTAGCTTTCTCTCACAGAGCTGTTAGCTTGATCGTGTACTTAGCAACTTTCTTTTAAAAAAGTGAATACTGCCTCATTCCTCCCTTTTACAGAAAGCAGTGAGAATTGTACCACAGGAAGAGCTGTAATGGCAGAAAGGGAGGTTGGAGAAGATCCTAAAGCTTCAGAGCTAAGAGATTTGAGTTTGTACATGGAGCTACGGCCTGTGCATCAGATATCTCCACCCCCATATCTTCCGAAGAAGGCAGCTGAGCACCTAGCTCATTTGGTTCCTGTTTCTTTTTGTATTTCTCTTTCCCATTAGAGGCTCGACATAAGCGGAAGGAAAATTATGACTCCTCTGTTCTTCTCTCTCTCTCTCTCTCTCTCTCTCTCTCTGTGTGTGTGTGTGTGTGTGTGTGTGTGTGTGTGTGTGTGTGAACGCACCTGCTGTCATTGTTTGCTATGGACAGAATTACCATTTTTGTATATGTGCCTCTCCCCAAATAGCTACATTATTAGCTACTTGGCAAGCAACCTCAAATACTTAGTATCTTTAAAACCCAAACATGTAGCAAGATGCTTACTACAGAGTAGGAAATGGATGGATTGCTTTTTTAACATGGTGGGTGAAGGAATGAATTCTTTGTTTCTGACTGAACCTGCTTGGAGTCCCTACATACAGCCAGTGGACCCTGGGGCACTGTTCTCCATGTGGTTATCCAAACTGCTATTGTTTAATTTGGGAGATGGTCTCATTTTCACACTATGGGTATATACTGAAATATAAACAGGGATATTTTACTTCCTCTGTATATTTTGGGTTCTAACCATTCACCATATATTATTTCAGCCCTTTCTTTTCTTTCTGATCCCTCCAGGACAGAACATTATTCCATCCTGTGAGCAACAGCTGCCTGGATTGCAACCCCGCAGAGAAGAAGATTTTCATGGCCAGATGTGACCCTCTATCTGAGACTCAGCAGTGGATTTTTGAACATATTAATATGACTGTTTTAGAAAAATTTAACCACCATGCCAGCTCCTAGAAAGAAGGAAGGAGGGAAGAATGAATGATTACCTACAGATTATAAAAACTAAATTTTAGCCAGCATCTGGGTCAAAGGAGTCAGGAATAACATTTCCTAGATCCAGGAAGCCGGGTTTAAAGATTTGTAAATGCCATGTCAAAGTAGGTTGTCCTGCAGAAATTCCTGCATCTGAAGAACTTGGCCGAGAATCTCACCAGCTGCATCTGAGAACTTGAGACTAGCAGTGCCCTTGCTGGCCAAGGGCAAAGATTATTTAAGGACTTTTCCAAACAACTGCTGAGTTAATAAATCCTAGCATTTCTCAGGTCAAATCCTGCAGTAGTGAGTAGCTATGAATGGATCCTATTAACCGGGTGGGAGGGGGGCGAAAATAGAGTGCATGACTGCAACCCGAGGAAACCACAGGTTTAGAACTAGCCACGCTTAAGGGGTGAGCTGTCCTCTCTGGTGCCATTCTCTAAGAATGGGTTAAGCAGGTTTAACCCTTAAAAGTGCTGCAGATGATTTTAGAGTGCTCATGCCATTCTGTTGTTTTCTTTTCAAACGAGGGTGCGCTGTCTAATGTTAAAACTCAAGTTACATAACGAAACGAACTTCCATTCACATTTCCTTTTAGAACAGAGGTAACCTATTGTTCATCAAAGCTCATGCTCCATACATCAGCTGAAGTTCTAAATCAGTGCCCTTGTATGAATCCAGTTTAAAAACGAAACAAAAACTATGCTACCAAGTTACTCCAAAGAGAAAGATTTCACAGAAGCAGCAAAACCGTGTAAGGTTTAAGAGAGGGATTTCCCTAAGAAATCGATTTTTACTTTTCTATTACTTTTAGAATTTTAAAAGTCTGGTGTCTGTCCAGTCGTACTTCTTATTCAGGAAGGAAATGGAGTGAGGTTGATGTAATTTGTTTAGGAGATTCTGAAATCCAAATAAATCTACACTCCAAGTGATGTGTGAGAAAACAGCTTGGTTCACTTCGATTCTGTGTGATCGGTGCTGGGAACACAGACATGGTTTCATTTGTTTTGTTTCAGGGTTTTTTAAATTTGTTTGTTTTATATCGCTGATATTAATGATGTTTTTGTTTCACTTGGAAGCTCACAGAAGGAAATTCCATTAATAAAGTGCTTCTGACACCATTTTCTGTTAATGAGACAATACTTTAGGGGTGACGAAAGGAATGATTACAAAACTAAATGGAACATTTAATCATTAAAAGACCTTTTTTAAAAAAAAATTTTCAATAATTATGGAGGTGGGGGCACCTGGGTGGCTCAGTTGTTAAGCTTCTGCCTTCGGCTCAGGTCATGGTCCCAGGGTCCTGGGATCCAGCCCTGCATCGGGCTCCCTGCTCGGCGGGGAGCCTGCTTCTCCCTCTCCCACTCCCCCTGCTTGTGTTCCCTCTCTTGCTGTCTCTCTGGCAAATAAAAAATTCTTAAAATAATAATAATAATAATTATGGAGGTGGGGGAAGAATATACAGGGATCTATCGGGATGGGTCTTTGGACAAAAGGGTCATGTTTGCTATACATTTCTCAAGCTTTTTCAGGTAGAAAAAGTTTTTATTTTGCTTTTGTTGTTCCCGTTTAGCTTAGTTTTTCTGTTAATGAGCATGTATCTGTGGTCCAGGATAGAGAAGCATTGGGTTTTAGAATTGGGAAGACTCTTCAAAGAGTCCAAAGACTCTTCAAAAAACAAAAAAACATTCATTTGTTTTTCCAAATGAAGAACAAAAGGCCAAAGAGGGGAGTCCTGATTCCTGGCGAGGCAGATGGCCTTTCTGAGCGTGCTTTTCCTTGTGTACTCGGTCTTGCTCACTCTGTTACCCAAAGTGTTTCTGGTTCTGACTTGAAACTTGAAACTTGAAATTTTCAGTCACGAGATGAGACTATTATGCCTCCTTGGGGATGCTTCTAAGAGTAGCATTCATGTTCCGAAACTCTAATATATGAAACGTTTTCTTGTAAACGTTCATGATTTTGTTCTCTCCTCAAAATCAAATCAAAATGTCCAGCGAACCTGCCCTGCTCATAGTTGGGGAAGAGTTACTCCATTATCTTTCCTGACTTTTCAAGCATTCTTTTGAGGAGCAATTCTTCTTAAAATGACTTTGTGTGTGTGTGTGTGTATGTCAAGAGATCTTGAAGCATGCGAGATGCAGAGTAAAGAAAACCAATAGTGAGAAACTAACCTGTGAGGTGAACAATTCCAGAGAGTGAGTGAAGATTTATCTCAAGTGTTTAGAAAGCAATCTGATTGTAGAATTAGAGGAACCTATAAAAAATTCACATTATGTCATTAAACAGTTGACTGCTATTTACAGTTCCACCAAAAAGCCACCCCTGGGTTTCGCACCCTGGAAAGTCCAGATCTGCAATATGTCAGGATGCTCTAATCATGGGAAGCTAGCCATAACATGTTTGGCACTGTTTTCTGAGAAACCCTGGAGACCGCATCATTTTAGTGTAACACCCATGATCGACAAAGATTGGTTTCCCGATCTCAGAGGGGCTTATCTCTTGCATCTAATCTTACCTTTGAGCAAAAGGATGTAATACAAAAAATAAAAATTAGCAAAAAAATTTCAGAGAAGGCTGAGACATTAAAGCCAACATTAAAACCTCAAACTGTCAAGCAATTGTGTGCAAATAGGAAACATCCAAACAAGACTAAAATGAAGCCCAGAGAATCGACTTCTTAGCAGAAGCGCAGAACACTGCCAATAAGCACATTTCAGGAGTCATTCCCAGTTCCCCCAAAGGTTGGGACTCCACTTACTTGAAAAACCACCATTACTATTGCAAAAAATAGAAAATTACATATGTTCACATATTTGTTTGGCAAAGAGGAACTAAACGGTTATCAAGTAGATTCTCTCTCCTGGAAATAACATGATTCAGACATTAAACAGTACAGTTCTGACTTACCCTTTTATCAGAACGAGAGGGAAAATAGCATAAAGTTAATCTGGCCTCAGGAACTGCTGCTTCTCCATAATAAGAAATGGTTTTGCCAGAAGTTAGAACATAACTTTTTATACCCTTATGTATGTACTGAGGAAAGGCTATGCTGAAAAGCAATTGTGAACTAATGTTGGGATTTATACTTTGTTCCAAGATGAATTAATGCCATGGTAATAACAATGGATTAGCTTCTATGTCTACTGCTATTTAGTTAAAAAATATGAATATGATCACATGATTTTTTAAATATGCTCATTATATGAGGCCTCAGTGAATAAGTTCCAGAATTATTTTGTGAATTGGTAATATAGAACTTTATAAAGAGATGCATAACATATAACGACCTGGATTTACCATCAATGAAAGAGAGGCTTAGGCCCATTCTATCCACGTTCTCACAAAACATAAAACCAATGAATGACAACACTTGACACCACTTCTTTGAGGAGCAGTTACATGGTTTTTTTTTTTTAAGCCAAAAAATATGTAAAGGGCATATAAATATCTCTTTTGTGATTCTTGCCCTCACGTGGAAAGTTTCTATTTCAGTTCTTTCATAAGTAAGGAAATAGCAAAAAGAACTCCTTTATTGGAACAGGTAAAGTCCATGTCAGATACATCAGAAGAGCCAATGACACTTCAGTTATGAAGCCAGCTGTCCAGTCATGGGAGGAAGGCCACACTCACCATCAGGCGACATTCCCGGCCCAGGACTTGACAGAACGGAATTGACAGCAAGGTCTGTCACCAACTGCTTTTGATTCCTGTCTTCAGTGTTAACAACGCAATCTTTCCCTGGAGGGGACCAATGCGAGCCCCACCCCACCCCCGTGCCTTCAGATGCTTCCAGATTACATTATTTAGAATTCAGAACCATCCTAACAATATGTGATTCTTGTGAACATTGATTTATCCCCGGGAATCCCTCTCGTAAAGTCTCCTTAGGCTTCTTCCCCTGGCAGAAACACAAGGCTGCAATACACTTTCCTAAACAGGTGCTGGAGATAAGGAAATAAGGCATGTCATATAAATCCTGAGAAGGAACACCTCGAAGGGAAAATATTTTTAAGTGGCTCTCCACAATTCCGAGAGTAAATACAAATGGTGAGAGGTAAATTGTGTCCCTGACATGGGTGCATGCAGTCCTCTCCATTCACTGCATCGACAAGCTCCGCCTTGCCCCCCGTAACTCTCAGACACCACTAACTGTACTTACTCTCTCTGTGTGAAAACTGTGGCGGAGAACACCGAAGCGCAACAAGTGGCCCAGTCCTGCCCACACCGCCGATGTTGGAAGATTGCTCTTTGATTTATGTCTGTAGCCTCTGCTTGCAGAACTGGGAGCTGTTTGCAACTCTATTTGGTAGACTTGACATTGGCTTTTATTCACAGTCACTCATCTCTACACTTGACGCACCAGGCTGGTGTGTCTGGTACTGTGGCTTCTCAGCAGAAAACAGCTCAGGCCCATGTTTGATACTTCACTTCAGAGAAACCTGGGAGCATTTCTTCCGTCCCTCCTGCCTGAAGCTGCCCCCTCCAGCTCACCACACAATAGCCTCCCGGGGCTGCCCAGTCTGCCACTCTCCACCTTTGCTTCGTCCCACCGTGATGCCACTGACCTCAACACAGAAGTCTTGGCTACATTTCAGAATCTTACTGTTCATGCTTTTATTCTGACATTACTCACCTTGGGGTGGGGGTGGGGGGGTGTTTGTAACTAAGTGATGTAGGTCCTGATTTACCAGGGACAGTCCTGGTTTATGCCTGCTGTCAGGTGCATTTATTAATAGTGCCCCTTTTTACTCTTACAAGTGTCCTAGTTTGAATAGCAAATCAGATGGTCACTATTTATAATCCACCTGCCTGTTTACTTCATAGTACCTTAGGGAAAGTTAAAATGTCCTCTATTTATTAATGCTTATAGACTGCAAGAGACCAACTAGTCTTGTTCTTTCCCTTCAAACAAGACCGAACAAAAACTAATTATATTTGTTGATCGCCTATCACATTCACATGCAATAAGTTCTTTC